AAAGAACACACAGCAGAGCAGTTTGAAAGATACTTTTCTTCTGTGTTTTAGATGCAATCTTGCTGCTATTTCTTATATGCTTGTATTTTGCTGGAAATATCTCTTTTTAGATTCTCAACAGAAATGGTTCCTGCACTGCTGCATACACACATCAGTTTAACTCTGTAAGTTGAATGCACACGTTGATAACCATGCTGTTAGCTCTGTTTTCCTTTTAGAGCCAGACATTTCTCATTACAGCATATACTCTCATTCACTCAGGAATATCCACACGCTGCTCCTAGAAGAAAGGTGTGTCTAACTCACTGAATCTAAACGTAGTTTAAACTCTCTAAGGTGAATGAACACATAGCAGATCATTTTGAAATATAAGTTTCTTCTGTGTTTCAGACCCAGCCTTACTGCTATATCTTATATGCCTGAATTTGGCTAGAAATGTCTGTTTTAGATTCTCCACAGAAATTGTTTCTGAACCGCTGCATACACGTGTCAGTTTAACTCTGTAAGTTGAATGCACACATTGACGACCATTCTGTTAGATAGCTCCGTTTTTCTTTTAGAGCCAGGTATTTCTCATTACAGCATTTACTCCCATTCACTCTGGAATATCCAAAGCTGCTCCTAGAAGAAATGTGTTTCTAACTCGCTGAATCTAAACATAGATGAACCTCCCTAAAGTGAACGGACACGTAACAGAGCAGTTTGCAAGATACGTTTCCTCTGTGTTTTAGACGCAGTATTACTGCTATTTCTCATATGCCTGGATTTTGCTGGAAATGACTGTTTTTAGATTCTCCACAGAAAAGTGTTGCTGAAATACTGCATGCACACATTAGCTTAACTCTGCAAGTCAAATGCACACATTGACAACCATTCTGTGAGATATCTCCATTTTCCTTTTAGAGCCAGATATTTGTCATTAAAGCATATATATCCATTCACTCTGGAATATCCAAATGCTACTCTTAGAAGAAAGGTGTTTCTAACTTGCTGAATCTTAACATAGATGCAACACCCTACGGTGAACGAAAACACAACCGAGCAGTTTGAAAAATACGTTTCTTCTGTGTTTTAGATGCAGTCTTACCGTTATTTCTTATATTCCTGCATTTGGCTGGAAAGGTCTGTTTTTTCATTCTCCTCAGAAAGGGTTTCTGAACTGCTGAATATGCAAAGCAGTTTAACTCTGTAAGTTGAATGCACACCTTGACCACCATTCTGTTAGTTAGCTCCGTTTTCGTATTAGAGCCAGATATTTCTCATTACGGCATATACTCCCTTTCACTGTGGATTATCCATCTTTGCTCCTAAAAGAAATGTGTTTCTAACTATCTGAATCTAAACATACATGCAGCTCCCTAAGGTGAATGAACGGACAGCAGAGCAGTTTGAACGATACGTTTCTTCCGTGTTTTAGACGCCGTCTTATTGCTATTTACTATGTGCCTGCCTTTGGCTGGAAATCTCTGTTTTTAGATTCTCCCCAGAAAGGGATTTGGAACTGCGGCATATACACATCCATTTAACTCTTTAAGTTGAATGCACACCTTGACAA